CAGTAGAGTCAAAGAAAAAGAACTGGAAGCAACAGATGTATTCCTCATTCCCTGGACTAACAATTGGCGCTATGGATTTCCATCCCTGCTTCTAATTCCTAGTGCTCTTAGGAAAGTAAAGGGGTTAAAACAAACCTTGATCCAATCTCACCAGTATAGATCAGTGTCACGGGGCGGGACTCACCAGTGTGGCGTCTCCTGCTGGTCGTCTAGGGAATTAGCATTTCCAGCCTCCGGAGCGCCCTCTGCAGGCCGGTGTCCTGCTTGCCGCTGGGCCCGAGTCCCTCCTGGACCCCGGTGCCCCTTTCAGGCTGAGGTGCTGCCCCCTGGCAGTACCCCCACAGATCTGGATCTCCCCTCCCCGGGGAACCCCCACCCTCTATCCCCACCTTGCCTCAGTCTACGGCCACTGCCAGTCATCACCTAGCCCCCGTTCTCCAGGGCAGACTAGTGTAAGCACCACTCATCACCGGCAAGGGGGGTTTTGGACCTACTGCCTCTGCCTGCCCTTGGGCTGTCCTCTGCAACCCCAGTACCTTCTTTGGCCTTTAACAAGGCCTACAGCCTGGGGGGTTTCTAGGCTGGAGCTCCCCAGCTCCTAGGACCTTCCCCCAGCCCTGCACCACAGTACCCTTTCTGGCCTTTAACAAGGCCTGCAGCATGGAGGGTTTCTAGGCCGGAGCTCCACAGCTCCTCTGGCCTTCCCCCAGCCCTGCTCCAGTCTTGGTACCTTCTCAGCTTCCAGGCAGCCAGGCCCTTCCCTCTCTACCACTTGAGAGACTGTGTGCTACTGGCCCACTGCCCTCTTATCAGACATTCCCAGTAATATGCCGATGAGAAGCACAGTCAGGAAAGTACCTGAACTACTTTTCTCATGGATTGTATTTTCTAAATGGACAACCTACCCTAAATTCTCAATTACTGAGGGACAATCTTCACTCATTGATATATTTTGCTTTCCACAACCAAATCTCTGTACAACTTTTCATGAGTGATCTACCCGAATACTTGGATGCTAATATCTAAACTATATTCTTAAATTTATTCACCTACATTTGCGGTATTGCTGATTATGTACTATATGTATCATATAACTTTTAAAAACAAGCTTTGTATTTGTGGATAATCTAAGCACTATACCCAGATGTACAGACACTCTTTTCTCAACCTATGTATTACATAATTTTTTTAACATTAGCTTTAATAAAATTTTAAAATATGTTAAGCTTCTACCCTTTCTGCTCAGAATTAGAGACTTTATGTATAAGGGACCCATGTGAAATTATATCTGACCTCCCCCCACCTTAAACCCCTTTATTATGAAATGTCTTTTTTATATATCTAACTGCAGGCAGATGATGGATAAACTGCCCATCAACAGTATTTTCTGAGACAGTGTAGTCTAGCAATCAAGTGCCCGGACTCTGAGTTAGAGCTCTGTGAGCTCTAGTCTCGGCTCTGTCACTGACTCCCATTTATGCTTTGTGTCTCAGTTTCCCTATCTATAAATAGGTTGGAATTATTAGTTCCTATCTCTTATCAATGAGTCAGTGTGTGAACAGTATTGGCAATGCCATATAATGCTATTTATTATTACCACTGAAACTACTGAATACATTTTGGTGCTTCTTAGGGTACGTCTATACTTACCTCCGGGTCCGGCGGTAAGCAATTGATCTTCTGGGATCGATTTATCGCGTCTTGTCTAGACGCGATAAATTGATCTCGGAAGTGTTCGCCATCGATGCCGGTACTCCTGCTCTGCGAGAGGAGTACGCGGAGTCGACGGAGGAGCCTGCCTGCCATGTGTGGACCCGCGGTAAGTTCGAACTAAGATAGTTCGACTTCAGCTACGTGAATAACGTAGCTGAAGTTGCGTATCTTAGTTCGAAGTGGGGGGTCAGTGTGGACCAGCCCTTAAATGGTTGTTCCATAGTATTTTAAGTGAAAATTGTAACTTCCATTCTTGAACTTGTAAAATGTGGCAGTCATTTAAAACAAAACATAAATCAACCTTTAGCACTTCCAGGCAGAAAATCAATCCATTATGAAAAGACAAAAAGCCTCTCACAGCTTTCAAAATCAAGAAACAAATAACTAATCCAACAAATGTTCAACATACAATAAATGGGGATAAATATTAAAAGAAATGCAAACATTGGAATTGCATGTTCTCTTAAAAACCTGCGCTAATTAACTATTTTTAAATTCATCAGAAAAATACAAAAATATAAAAAAATTAGAACCTGGATTTTTAAAATTTATTCTGAAATAATGCAAGAGGTTGGGTTAATAAAGGAAACGTAATGGGACATTTTTATCCACTGGAGTGGCAGCTGCAGCATTTTCAGTCACTGTAAGAGAATTACACATAGCTTCTTTTACTGCACAAAAGACAAAGTGTAACATTCCATTTTCATGCAATTAAACATTTTGATTCAAATTTTACTATCTGGGGCGCTCATACCCGGTTATCCGAAGTATACAACAGAAAAAAACAATAAAGAAACAACATAAGGCAATGACTGAATCAGATCAATATTTGTTTGCAGTCTGCATGGTACAACACCCATTTTGCCAACTTTATGTGTTTTAAAGGTGCCACACATATATTGAGAAATTACTACACGAGAGCATAAAGACAATGATTAGCAGTAGCAACTGTGTAAACACTCAATCCCCTCATAAGGGCCTGAAAAAATTACTACTTTTTTTACAACTGTATCATAATTCACTAACAATCTACTAGTATCAAAAAGCTGCTGGCACTCTACAGCTACACATACAGCAGGTGAAAATTGTAATAGCCAAAGTAGATAAACACTAAATCCCTGCTGTTACATTTATACAGATCTCCTTTCAACACTTTAGATTCATACAGTTTGAAATAGAAGGCCAACAACTTAAAAAACTAATGCCTAAAGTTAACCACCTAAATAAGTGCTCCAATTGACATCTTTGGGAATGGTCAGATGGTCAGCACTTCTGAAAATCTGGCCATTTATTCAAGTGACTCAATATGCATTTGGGTTACTAAAATTCAGCTTATATTTTTCTAAATCTTGTCTAGAATTTCTTTCCTCATCAGTTTTTTTTCCTTTTGGCACACATGAAATTTATCCCCATTTCAAATGAAGATGAATGAACAAGCCTTCTTCTTATTTCTGTGCATGTGCACATCAGAATTAGTGACGATATAACCAAAGTTAATGATATAAGCAGGAATGTAAGTTAACTAACTCCTCCAGTAGGGGGTGATAGTGTCTTTGTAATTTCTCATCAATTAAATAATGGTAATAATTTCACCTGTATCTCACCTTATTCAAAAATATACACCCCTAAATCAATCAATTAATCACAGGAGTGATATTCTACAAAGGTCAATTTTAAGCAGATCACCTTTTTATACATGAACAAATTCACAGCATCTCATCATAATAAAACATACATAATAATTATAGTGTAATAACGTTACAACAGATTGTTGTATTATCTTTTTTCCACAATCATTATCAACAAAAAAGCTCTACTAGTTTCTACAAATATGAACATTTTCAAAAACAGAAGCTTGGTAAAAACAAAATAATCCATTAATACAGGGGAAAACAAAAACTGGTTACATAAATATATGCATAGGGAAAGACTAAATAAATCAAGAGTATCAACAATGCTCCACTTCTCTTTGCCATTCTTGAAAACAACAATTTATTTAAAAGAATGTTCAAAGTAATCACACATCAACCCAAGAAATTTACCTAAATTCCTTAGCTACTTCTGATACAACAAATATGGTGAAAAGTAAGAAGAAAGAAGGAGGGAAGTGTTTGTGTAGAACAATAAAAAAATATTAAATTAGGCAATAGTCTGCTTACACTGAAACATCTATTCTCTTTTAAAAATAATCGGAAATGGAACATAATATTTCCCCGAAGTTCTGTGTGCAGCCATCCATTCATTTTTACTATATGGATACCCATGCCTGAAAACCATCCCCTAATTTTTGACTTAGTTTAAGATTAAATCAAAACAAACAATTTAAAGTGTATTTTCCTCCTCAGTTCCAAAATTCTTCCCTTTTGGAGATACTCTGAAATTAAAGTATGATTTTTTCCCTCCCCAGTTCCCAACCTTTCCTAGAATCTGGGAGAAATATCAACAATCTGTAACGTAGGCACTCTTCATTTTCTAAGTAGTGAGTGATTCAGGTGCTACGTGGTTGCAGTAGGAATTCCCACAATTAATGGATGTCTAAGCAAAGATTAGGTAAAGTCTCATTAAGTACCTAAGCCACAAATGATCACTACTGTGAAGTAGTATGTAACACATTTTTCCCCTTTTGCCAGCTTGAACAGCTCCCCTAATGGTCAGCCCTAACTTATTACAATGTAGCTATTGACAGTGGGTGAAATCCTGGCCCCACAGAAGACAGTGGGAGTTCTGCCATTGACATCAATGGAGCCAGGATTTCACCGAATGGATTCAACTATCTGGACCTGCGGTATTTTAAAACACTTCAGTGATACACCAGTGTACAGGTCAACTCTGAAAACAAGCTCTTGATCCAGACATGCAAGTGCATGAGGAGAGACACAGGGATTTATTTTAAGCAGCAGACCAAAACTTTATTAAACATGACATCAGAGAGGGGTGCTATCAGCCCAGTCTTCCCATAGCAGACATTTAAGTGAGTGCAGTGGGGGGCTTACAGGGGACCTATCATATAGCTCATAATTCAGGGTGGACTCCCCATTGCCTACCTCTAGCAAGCTGAATCCTATCCTCTTTCCCCCTGCAAGGAGACAGAAAGTACAAAGAGGGGCCCCTTGTCTGAAAAGAATTCAGGTCTACCATTTTCCTCTGGGCCCAAAGTCCACCAGTGAAATCCCAGGTCTCTTATTTCTGGGAATATTTTAAAATACTCCAGTGCTATACCAGCATACAGGGCAGCTCTGAAAATGAGCGCTGCTTTTTCACACACACACTGCTGACAGGGAGCTCACCTGTAAGTACATTTCCAAGCCTTGTCGCCGCTGTTCCAGGACCTTAGGGACCCAGTTCCTCACGTGCTTGGAAGGGATTTCTGGTGTTCTAATAAACCTCTTCAGCTGCAAACAAAACCAAAAATAAAAATATAATCCCTCTTTACTATAAAAGCATTCCTGCTACAAATCAGTCAGAAAAATTTTTTTGGGGGGGAAGGTAGCCATTTATAAAGGTCAGTAACTGCAGTGAATTTATTCACTAAACACCTCATTGAGGAATAATGAACTGACTTTACATTCCTCTTCAAATCTACAAGTCACAGATAAAAGTTATTTCAGCTTAGCTGACCTTTTGGCAATGAGGAATCCAACTAATAATACCGTTTGTTCCAAAGATTTAAAGAAAAACTGCAGCAGCTGGATGGCTCTAATACTTGAAGACCTGGACACCAACTCAAGCCAGGGACTAAACAAAATAACATGACAGTTAGCTGAATACTGCTCACTGGACAATCCAATCTACACCCCAACAAATATTTTAACACAGCTTTTCTTTGAAGTGTACGCTGCCTCGTTTAGGGTGTGATCCTGCAAGATACTGAGTACTCTCAAGCTCACATTGCCTTCATCAGCTTAGAAGGTTGGGACCCCAGAGAGTAACAAAAGAGCAGTAAAAGCTATGAATCTGGTTTGCTGAGCTACTGAACTGCTATTGAATCCTTGTGAATCAGGTTGAGAATGACTGGGTAGGAAAGATGGTCTAGTCTCTAGTGGACAGGGCACTAGACTGGCACTCCAATGATCTGGATTCAATTCCTGTGTGACTTTGGGCAAGTCACTTAATCTGCCCCATACCTCAGTTCTCCATCTGTAAAATGGGAATAGTACTTGACAGGGATGCTAGGCACTCAGATAGTACTTTGATAAATACTACATAAGTAAGTAGATAGACAGACTACAATTGAAACAACTTCCCGATTCAGCATATAGGTATTTTGGGAAAGGTGGTGGAAAACAAGCCTCTCACTAGCTAATGGGTTTTCCAGAAAGCAGGCACCCTGACAGATGAAGGGAAAAACTGTAATGCTAAGATGAGTATAATTCTGTAATAATTTATACATAGCACTAGCAAAACTCTGCTACAGAATCTATCCCTAAGTAAGTTTCTATTGTCATTCCTGTGACAATTCATGCAGTATAGCTCACAAATACTTTTTAAAAATAATTTATACCTAATAATACTTCTCCCACAGAAGATAAAAATTATCCTCATTCCAAAAACAACTAAAAACTTATTTTCTCAGTACTAAAAGGCAAAATAATAACTGGGATGGATTCCACTGCATTTTAATGGAAGGTGACAATAGACATTCTTTCAGCTGCATATTGCCTCTGAGTAAATGTGAAGAGAGAAACACGAGGGCAGAAACTCAAAATTGACTTTGACATGCATGCCCATGGGGCTTTGAGAATTTACATTTCATCTCTGAGCTTGCTGAGATGTCACTACAGCAAAAAGCAGTGCCAACATATCACTGTCTCTGTGATCATAAGTTATGAAGGTCCAATAAGTAAACCTCAGTTGTTCTAGAAACATTTTGCAACTTGCTTATTTTTCAAATATACTAAATCACAATTATATGTGTCCAAGTTCAAGCAGAAAAAAAACACCGAAAACCTCTACTTACTGATCTTAAAGTCATAGTATAAAAATGCAATTTTTTCTTTAAATTTGTCAAGAGTGTTGAAGAAGCTAACATCACAACTGTTGGGGTCTATGACAGCTCTTGTAGGTGAGTAATGAATTGCTTTAGATGAAGAGAGACAAACCTGAAACAGTACAAATTTCCAGTAGGGCTTAGCTGCTTACAAGATTAATACTCTACAGCTGACATAAGAACATAAGAATGGCCATACCGGGTCAGACCAAAGGTCCATCCAGCCCAGTATCCTGTCTACCGACAGTGACCAATGCCAGGTGTCCCAGAGGGAGTGAACCTAACAGGTAATGATCAAGTGATCTCTCTCCTGCCATCCATCTGCACCCTCTGACAAACAGAGGCTAGGGACACCATTCCTTCCCATCCTGGCTAATAGCCATTAATGGACTTAACCTCCATGAATTTATCTAGTTCTCTTTTAAACCCTGTTATAGTCCTAGCCTTCACAACCTCCTCAGGAAAGGAGTTCAACAGGTTGACTGTGCGCTGTGTGAAGAACTTCCTTTTATTTGTTTTAAACCTGCTGCCCATTAATTTCATTTGGTGGCCCCTAGTTCTTATATTATGGGAACAAGTAAATAACTTTCCCTTATTCACTTTCTCCACACCACTTATGATTTTATATACCTCTATCTTATCCGCCCTTACTCTCCTCTTTTCCAAACTGAAAAGTCCTAGCCTCTTTAATCTCTCCTCATATGGGACCCATTCCAAACCCCTAATCATTTTAGTTGCCCTTCTCTGAACCTTTTCTAGTGCCAGTATATCTTTTTTGAGATGAGGAGACCACATCTGTACGCAGTATTCAAGATGTGGGCGTACCATCGATTTATAGAAGGGCAATAAGATAGTCTCCGTCTTATTCTCTATCCCCTTTTTAATGATTCCTAACAATCCTGTTTGCTTTTTTGACTGCCTCTGCACACTGCAAGGATGTCTTCAGAGAACTATCCATGATGACTCCAAGATCTCTTTTCTGATTAGCTGTAGCTAAATTAGCCCCCATCATACTGTATGTATAGTTGGGGTTATTTTCTCCAATGTGCATTATTTTACATTATCCACATTAAATTCCATTTGACATTTTGTTGTCCAATCACTTAGTTTTGTGAGATCTTTTTGAAGTTCTTCACAGTCTGCTTTGGTCTTAACTATCTTGAGCAGTTTAGTATCCTCTGCAAACTTTGCCACCGCAATTTTTACCCCTTTCTCCAGATCATTTATGAATAAGTTGAATAGGATTGGTCTAGGACTGACCCTTGGGGAACACCACTAGTTACCCCTTCCATTCTGAAAATTTACCAATTTATTCCTACCCTTTGTTCCCTGTCTTTTAACCAATTCTCAACCCATGAAAGGATCTTCCCTCTTATCCCGTGACAACTTAATTTACATAAAAGCCTTTGGTGAGGGACCTTGTCAAAGGCTTTCTGGAAATCTAAGTACACTATGTCCACTGGATCCCCACATGTCCACATGTTTGTTGACCCCTTCAAAGAACTCTAATAGATTAGTAAGACACGATTTCCCTTTACAGAAACCATGTTGACTTTTGCCCAACAATTTATGTTCTTCTATGTGTCTGACAATTTTATTCTTTACTACTGTTTCAATTAATTTGCCAGGTACTGACGTTAGACTTACCGGTCTGTAATTGCCGGGATCACCTCCAGAGCCCTTTTTAAATATTGGCGTTACATTAGCTATCTTCCAGTCATTGGGTACAGAAACTGATTTAAAGGACAGGTTACAAACCATAGTTAATAGTTTCGCAATTTCACATTTGAGTTCTTTCAGAACTCTTGGGTGAATGCCATCTGGTCCCGGTGACTTGTTATTGTTCAGTTTATCAATTAATTCCAAAACCTCCTCTAGTGACACTTCAATCTGTGACAATTCCTCAGATTTGTCACTACAAAGGACGGCTCAGGTTTGGGAATATCCCTAACATCCTCAGCCATGAAGACTGAAGTAAAGAATTCATTTAGTTTCTCCGCAATGACTTTATCGTCTCCTAGTGTCCCCACTGGTTGTTTAGCAGGCTTCCTGCTTCTGATGTACTTAAAAAACATTTTGTTATTACTTTCTGAATTTTTGGCTAGCTGTTCTTCAAACTTCTTTTTGGCTTTTCTTATTACTTTTGACACTTCAACTGATGATCAACAATCCTTCTTGCTCTGTGGCCCTGTTACACAACCCATCCAATCAACAAAGACAGGTGAAAGGAGCAAGTATATGCAGTGTATGTCTGTGCATTTATTATATCTGTATACAGAAAGACAAAATATAAATTATAACACACACATTTCAATATATATTATCCTTATAATAATATGTAAATGTATTATATACATGTATGTTTGTATGTTAATGAAATAGTTCCTGAGATTGTTGGATACTGTCTGAAGCCAACCATATAAATAAAAGAACTATTTACCCGAGGGTAATTTCTTTTTAATGCTGTCACTGACCTCAGGGTCATTTGATAGTTCTATTAATATATGGTCTGTTGCCTGAACCATGAAAGATGGGTCAAATTTAAAAGTATGGAATCATTTCCCAAAATGATGTGTCAAGACTATTTTTATCTATTTTAAATTATTAAAAAAAAATTGTAGATAATTTTGCCAAATGTAAATTTTAGTATTTTTATGGACTACAGTTTAGTAATGGTAATCACATCTATTCCTTACAATGTTTTTTGTACTGAGAAAGGCAAACATTTTATAATATATGTTTTTATAATATATGTTTTATAATTTTATTTTATAATTGTATATATATTTATATTTTATATTTATATTAATATAATATATGTTTATGTATAGAAATAAAGTATTTCAATCCCTCTGGAGATTGACTAAGTGAAAATAATTAAGATTCTAATCAGAAACAAATACCATTCTGAATATCCAGGTGTGTAAACATGCAAAGTCTAGTTTGTTGCATACACAGAGGCCAAATCTACTCTGTGCAAGGCCAGCCAGGTGTGTGAAAAGCCAGCAATAATAAACACCTGCCTGTGAGTTGTGGGAACAGAGAGCTTGTGTAAATGAGCAAATATACTCCACCAGATTTTAGGTCTTCTCTCTTTCTTACTTGGCAGCACAGGAAGCAGGATTTATCAGTTCCTTTATGCAGCTGGAATGTGGGAAGAGGGGGACACAGACAGGAGGGTAATCAAGCCACATTTCTTGAGAACTTTTTTATTTGTTTTGTTTTTAAAAATGGACATTCATTAGCGTTTTGAGTAAGGAATCTCCTATTCCAACTTGGAACTGGAGTCCTTCCCTCATACATTGCTAGTATGGTGTAGTTTCATCAGTATCTCCTCTTGCCTCTTCTAGTCACCCACAATAGGGGAAAGTAGGGTTGCCAATTTTCTAATCACACAAAACAGAACACTCTTGCCCTGCCCTGCTTCCATCCCGAGGCACTGGGAGGGAGTTTGGGTCTGGGAGGAGGGTTCAGGGTGTGGGCTCCGGCTGGGTGGCGCTTATCTCAGGTGGCTCCTGGAAGCAGCTGGCACATCCAGCTTCTAGATGGCAGTGCGGCCAGGGGGCTCTGCGTGCTGCCTATGCCCGCAGGCACTGCCCCTGCAGCTCCCATTGGCCACGGCTCCTGGCCAATGGGAGCTGTGGAGCTGGTGCTCGGGGTGGGGGCAGCACGCAGAGCCCCCATGGCTGCCCCTGCACCTGGGAGCCGGACATACTGGCCACTTCCGGGAGCCGTGCAGAGCCGGGGCAGGCAGGGAGCCTGTCTTAGCCCTGCTGCACCACCAACCGGACTTTTAGTGGCCCGGTCAGCAGTGCTGACTGGAGCCACAAGGGTCCCTTTTCGACCAGGCGTTCCAGTCGAAAACCAGATGCCTGGCAACCCTAGGAAAGAGGGAAGCAGAAAATAGTCATTCCTGATAGGCCCCCTTACTTCCACTTGGCTCAACTCCTTTGGGGAAAAGTCCATCTAAGCAAGGGCTTTGGGGCATGTGACACCTTTAAAAGACACCTTCACACGTCTTGTTTTCACAAACATCAAATATTGAAGTTCATACTTTACCTTAAAGATTCTAGATATGTATTTTTTTTCTAATGATTATTTTTACAAAGGAAAGAGGAAAAAGTGGACTATAAAATAATTGATTCACACACTGAAAACGTGGACAATATTATACAAAAAAAACCATATGACACACAAGTTTGTTTACATTACAGTGAAATACAGGTCTAATCAAGTGGAATCACTTTAAAAAAATTCCCTTTACAGCAAAAATTGATTGCAAATGGAGTACATACGTTACAATGCGACAACAGGCTCTGCCCTGAGGGAACTGCAAAACCTGTAGGGTATGGGAGTTTGTTTTCAGCCTGCCTTTATGGCTTTATCTTTAAAAGTTGTTAACTTTAATATGGGACAGCTGTCAGGGAAGAAATTTCAGTTTTGCTTTAAATGATCTTTATGATCTTATTTAAAAATAAAGCTGTTTGTAATAATTATTCAGGTTAGGGGATATAAAAAATCTCCACGAGGAGTGAGGACATTTTGTTATTTATGGAAAGTAGGAAAACAGGGAGGCAGATATTTAAGAAGAGTAGAATCCACAGAATCTGTATTGACTGAGCTTTCTCTGCCAAAGGGTTCACGGTCTACTGGTGTTAGTATAGAAAAGGCAAATGCACTGATTTAGTACAGCTTCGAGACATCAATATTCCTCTATTATGAACAGAAGAGAAAAAACTAGTTGAGAAAACAGCTAGTGCATTATTGCTAAAGGAGATCAAGATTTCCACCAAGGTCTTTGGTAAAGTGGTGGAGGAAGGAGAACTTGCTATAAAAAGTATGTTGTGTACTTTACCTCTATAAAGGAAATGAATACAGAAACAAGGTTGCTGCCCTGAAGAGCTCACAGTACAATCTAAACAGGCAATGAGCACACCAGGGATAGGAAAAACAAGTAATTGTTAACAGTGAAGTCTAGAATAGTCTTATTATAGTTCCAGGTTTGGAGGTTTATTTCTTTTGCTAGCACTTCTGGGGAGAGACGAAAGGACGATCATTTACAGACGTCCTGGAAGCAGTATCAGAGGGGTAGCCGTGTTAGTCTGAATCTGTAAAAAGCAACAGAGGGTCCTGTGGCACCTTTGAGACTAACAGAAGTACTGGGAGCATAAGCTTTCGTGGGCATCTGAAGAAGT